GGCCAACCACAGCGTGAATTTTCATTGTCCCCTTCACATTCTTCAGTTTCAGTTGCTTCACTCTGTTCAAGATATCCTGGCACTCCCCGGAAGACACAAAACAGAACTTCACAGACTTCATATTTGATGATCTTGCCCATGTGAAGAAACCTTTGGGATCCTGGATGACACACTTTCCACTACGGACAGCCTCATCAGCCATACGTTTAGTTGTACCTCCTAATCCATCACATGGCCCCTTGCCATGACCTGCTTCAAAATAGTCCCATCGAGCTTTCATCCCAAAACTGTTTGATGGTTAGCCACAGTGTTGAAAACAACTTTCTTCCTGTACTCACTTGTAGGGCTGTCTGTCCAATAATGGATTATCTCCACATTCTCATCAAGGCCTTAATATCAGGCATTTAAGTTGTGAAGTATTGCAATAACTGTAGAAGATGCATGAGATACTTCATCAGACACAGCAACGAAACTCAGCTGACCAGCATCATTCCTGTAGTAGACTACAATCGGATGAAGGGTCACTCCAACTTGGTTCCAATATGCGCTTTGGATTTCATCAACAGTTTTGCGAGAATAATTTTCTGCAAAATCCATATGACAAATCATCTGGTGTTGAGGAAGGGTCTCCTTTAACCTTCTGATTTCTGCATACTGTGTTTGTACACGACCGACATGGCATGAGAAATCTTCCACTTGTTTTTAGATCATCAATGAAGATATCCCTTGTCGCGAGAATCCACAATTCTGGTGACAGATTTTTTCTTTACCTTTCTCTTCTACCGTCACTCGTTTCCACTGACTTCTGATTACATGTTCTGGCATCTTTTCTACTATGATATTCAGGCCAACATGATCTTTCAAGAATGTCTCTGGATTTGGGAATACCAGAATTCCCTCCTTGCGAAAGGGTTTTAAGCTGTAAAGCCATGTTCTGATGCTTTGTACATAGGCAGCTGTGTCTGGTTATGAATAATGTCAGTAGTATGTACTTTGGCCTCATACGTCTGAAGGTTTCAAAGAGATAGTTTGATATCGGGGTTCTCAGCCGTGTATTTTGCATGAAGATTATAAATATAATCTGTCAGAACTCTGGTTTGTATCTTCTGGCCATCTAATTTCTTAGAATCAGCCTTTCCAGGTTGTACTCTACTGTTGTCATCACGTTCAAGGAAAGCCAGGACACTAGATTTGTATATCTGTAGAGTCCTTGTCCTTTTTCCTTTTGTCAGCACAATGCATTTATTCCTAACGTTTGATAACTTGTGGCGACATAAACCAGTCTGGGAACTCAGCTGGTTCAAACATCGATACTTCTTGATGATTTTCCCTGAGACAATGCGATGCAGAAGAGGACGCTTTGAGGTTTTCATTTCGTCCTTAGAATGAGTAATTTCTGAAATAAGAGCATTACTAAGAAGCAAATTTTTCCTGATTTTTCTCTGTTCAATTGTGTTGAACTTGGCTTGCTTCAGCATTGCCTCAGTTTTGCTTTTCGGCGTACTTGTTGAACCAGCTGCCATTTTTACATCATGTCTTTTTACTTTTCTTTTCAGTGAGTGGTATTTCTTCGATAATTCATGCTGTCTGTCTTTGAGGTCTGCAATGGTTCTGTAGGCCTTTGCTAAAGCTTTGTTTGTTCTACGTCTAGGTCCCAATCTTCTGGCATTTGGTAAGGGCAACCGAACCACCAACTGTTGATCTGAAGCTGCACCCTGACTCTTGTAGCCACTCGTTTCTTGTTCAGGTTCATTTTCAATTGCTGCAGCCGCAAGCAATGCTTTCTTTTGAGACCTGTGTCTCTTCAAATTATCAAGATTCTTTAGGTTTCTTTTCAACAACTCGTTGCGATTTAGTTGAGACGACGGAACATAATTTTGACGCCGTCTCTGTCGTTCTTTCTCAAGATATGCCTCGCCATCCTTCAATTTCTTTCGTTCCCTATATGCTTTTTGTATTTCAGCACGTGTTGTCCCCATTATTGTCTGAAACATAACGACGAAATGTACGTTACTAGTCACTGAAATGTACGTTACCATTTCTAAATTGATAATTGAATGTTTGTTTGATTGGATATAATGTTTTGATCAACATTGTGATATATACATCTTCATGTTGTAATTCTACATCAAATATCGCTATTCACCTCATCTATTTTGAGGAGATATTTTCAGTCGAACTAAGGTGATCAAACATAGAGATGTTTCGGAAAAAGTGAATATCAGTAAGCATAATACGTTGTCTAACTGTGTAGTTTTCCGTGGCTAAAATCATACTTTCTTAGCTCTAGAATCTTAGATGAACAATAAAATGTATTTTACAAGAATCTAGATATATAATCCTGATTGAGTGTGGTCAAAAATTAATATATCTCGTTTCCTGAAATGTACGTTACCATTGGTAACGTACATTTCACATTACAATCACCATGAAAAAAAGTTTTTCTTTGTGAACATATACTGAGTCAAAAGAAACTTCACATTCTTTCTTCAGGGCACTATAAAAGAACAAGAGATGGTAAGATGGTTAAATTGTTATTATTTCATTGCTGAGATCTGTGTGATGTACTCGATACACTGACAGTGCCATAATCAGTTCCATTAGGCTACACCGCCGTTCCAAAACATGGGTATACAGAATGTCAAGTCACAAGAATAAAAATGCGAAATTTCTCAGTTCAATATCGTGTATGGCCTCCCCGCGCATTCACCACTGCCAAACACCGTCTCCTAATTGACTGCGTGGTTGGGGATTCTGAGCCATTTCTCTTGCAAGGCAGCGCCAAGTTGCTGCAAATTCTGAGGTTGGTTCCTAAGACCACGAAGCCTTCTCCCAAGTGCATCCCAAACGTGCTCTATTGGATTAAGGTCAGGGGACCTCGATGGCAAGTCCATGACGTTGATTCCAGCGTTTTGAAGGAAATGTCGTGTCAACATCGCGGTATGCGGCCGAGCATTATCATGCTGGAACTGTAGACCTGGGCCATGAGCCGCCATGAAAGGAACGAGTTCAGGGGTGAGCACCTGGTCGCGGTAAGCAGCAGCTGTGAGGTTTCCACGGATGACCAGAAGTCGGGAACGGTTGTTCCAACAGAAAGCACCCACACCATGCAACTTCCGCCCCCGAATCTGTCGACTTCCTGTACACAACATTCGGCATACCGTTCACGACGTCGTCTCCAGACTCTATGCCTGCCGTCCGCGAATCTGAGGGTAAACCTGGATTCATCGCTGAAGACGACTCGATTCCAGTCTCTCTGGGTCCATCGGAGGTGACGTTGGGCCCACAGCAGACGTTGACATTGATGAAGCGGCGTCAATATTGGCCCACGATATGGACGTCGAGAATGGAGATTGGCAGCCCGCAACCGATTTCTGGAATGGTCTGTGATGACAGTCGACCTCTAAACATCTCAGCCCTGGTTTGTGTAGCCGGCGAAATCTGTCACGTAGGTGACGTAGGACGATTTGACGGTCTTCTGCTCGTGACGTCACACGTGGACGACCCGACCTTGGGCGATCAGAAGTGGTGCCAGTTTGTTGTAGACGACCTCGCAAGTCATACACAGTACGACGGCTGCATCCCATTGCTCTTGCGACGTCAATAACTGATCTTCCCGCTTGCAACATGCCAACGGCACGTTCACGTTGCACATTTGACAATCGTGGCATTTCAAGTACCGTTAGAACTGTGGTTTAAAAGTGATTTTTTCAATTCTTGAGGCCAATGCAAACACGTGCATATGAAGAAAACTTCGATGCGACGATCACGTGATCGACTGCACGTGCAAAACCTGATTTGGCACTAACGTCATTTGCACGACGAATGGATGGGTTTGAGTGGGTTTTGCTAACGTTTTTCTAGAGTCAGAAGATAGGGATCCCATTTCGGATACATAGATGTATCATCAGAGAATAATTATTCATTATTTTTCAAATTACATTTTGTGAAGTTTCTTTTTGACTCAGTATATGAAGTTAAAATCAGCTTAGACATGAAACTAAGACATTTTCACACGAATAAATCGCAAAAACCTTGTAGATGAGCTTTATGAACTTCACTAAGCATAGTCATTCAAACTTACCTCAGGTTCATTGACGATTTTAGGTCTTTCAGCGTTGAAATTCAAATGGTTTGTCTTGCAATCAGTGTAACCAAGGTCAAGCAGACGACAGGAAGCGCATGGTCAGCTTTGTGTAAAGCTGTATGCACTGTAAATATTAGTTTCGTATCCTTTGGTAACGTACATTGCGGTAACGTATCTTTCAAACTATGCATTTATATGAAGCAGTATGCTTATTTCAAGTATGAACAATGAGCATCTCACTTCATTTTATTGTCTTATATCCATAAACATCCATTTGTATAGTAAACCATTCTCTTGTCAGACCTCTAAAACAAAAAGGAGTAACGTACATTTCATCCTTAAAATTACGGGTTGATTAGTGCATTTAGACACCTTCTTAACAGCACTGAAAGGTTTTGTTATTTCTTTAATGAGTATTTAATTCTTTTGAAAACATATTATTCTTCAATTTAAATCAATCAAATCATGTCTTCAGTAGTGGTCTACCTTGATGAGATGAAGTGTCAGTAACGTACATTTCCATGAAACTTTGGACATTCTTAGAGTGATTCATTCCTCGTCATGAAAAAATTGTGTTGAGGAATACGGAAATATATTCTCCCCAAATCATGAAGCATTAAGTTACTCTGTCGTTTCCTATGCCCATGTAAACTATATTGTGGTTGTGCTTGAAACATGATGACCTTAAAAAAGTGTATATTGCCTTTTGGACAGTAACGTACATGTCATTTCTGCCTATATTAGGCATTATTTGAGTGGGAAGTATTTGCTTTAAAAGGTGTAACTTAGCCAAATAATTGTACTTGTGGCACACTTCAATATGCATGAATAATTATTGTGATCACACCTTTAAATATTTCTGAATAATGCTTGGACATGCTTTGGACTTCCTTATTGGGTTCGAGTGAACTATGAGGACTGTTGTTTCCAAATTTTGCTAAGAAAATGTTTACGACCAGCATAGGTTCTAGCACGGTTCTAGCACCAAATGTTCCATGAAACTAAATTGCTTTATCTAACGTTAATGAGAATTATTACGTTCTCATACCTTTTCCCCAGTTATTGCTGATGTTTAAAAGCATGAAATGATCCTTTGTTTCGAGGCCAGAATGTCCATTGGTCAGTTACATGTATTTTTCACAGAAGAAGTAGTTAGTGTAGAGGCATCTTGCGTCATGCTGACCAGTAGGATATATAGAAATGCAATCTTGTACTCTCAGGTGCCCCGTTTGGCTGACCGTCCGCCCAGTTATTGTACGACATCACTACCGCAGTTGTCTCTTCCCAGTAAACCCATTCGCCCGTTGTGTCGCGCCGGTCTCCTTGGATGTACGCTGTTAAACAGTTATAACAAGAAGTTAATCTCCAGCCACAAGAAAATAATAGTCGTATGTTTCCTTAAGGAGGCTCTTTATGAAAATGCTTTTCGGATCATTACACAAAAGCAAGATGTTATTTTTATGTATGCACAAAGATTATTTTCTAACATATACCAACTTCTTTGAGGGGCATAGTAGAAGTTGGGAAGTACAGTATAATGTATTTCTCCTCTTCTTGTTAAATTCATGCTGGACAACGACACATGAATTTGTACCGAAACATCGTACTTATAGAATATAACCAGTGTTTATCCATTCATTTGTCTGTAACAGTCTTTTCGGAATAGAAAGATCTTATATCGATCTTCTTCGTAAATACTATTTTCATTCATGACAATAGTTTATTTAAGACGTAACCAGAAATGCATATACATATTTGTTAGAGCAACCGTTCCTGAAAGAACAGTTAATTTCAAGCCACGATTCGCTTATCATGTAACTGCTATTGTGTATACGATGCTAATCAACATTGTTAATCTTCATCAACATTGAATTGTTGACTGTTGTTGTTGGACGTTTAAAACCAACACGAAAGAGCCGTCCAAATATGTATGTCCTCATTAAGGAGTAATTCTGTTTTTATACTTATTGTTAATCAGTCGAAGCAAGGCCCTGAAAATTCTCAAAATTATTTCCGATTTCCATTGCCTTGAAAAATAAGTACAATGCCTATAGTCGACCATACCATAATGAAACAAAATGCCTATTAACTTCTACTTATCGAAAGATGTCGGGTGTTCCTACAAAATGTCAATTTCGTAAAGACAGACACACAGACCCATGAAGGGAGTGGAAATTAACAAGCCCAGCTGGATTTGACTCGGGTCACCATTTGTATGTCAAAACAGTATTTAGTTTTCTATTCCAGCATCTTTTATTCTCATGTTCATGTAATTTACAGAATGAAAGGAACGTGTTGATTATTTGGTAAAAATGTTTTCAAGTACGTCATTGGTAACTGACACAAAATAAAATAATGCAACCATTGACAAAGGAATATGACTTCACAGACTGCATCGTACCTCCTGGTACACGTAACAGACTAATAGAGCCTTTAATCTGTTTTAGTGCTCAGTTTAGATCCTCTTGCATTCTATCGTGTTGCTGATGAAAATAGACATTTCACAATAATTTGAATTAAAACCTTACAGGAAACAGTTCGAATTTGCAGTTCACCCATATATGCATAGTGTCTTAGATTGTCATCAAATTGTGTGAGCTAGTTTTTGGCAAGAAATTTAAGGAATGGGGTGTCATTTTACCAGTAAATATTTTTTCCGAACATTCGTTATACTGGAAAAGTGAGTCCTAGAAATGGGACGATATGCATAGATGGGTACAGGGTTATTTTCCAGTCTTGGGTAGGTGCATTCACACGCGCGATAAAACGGAAGGCACAACGGTATTCATCTTTCGTGGAGAAAGTGAATGGCCTTGATGAAGTAATTCTTGATATATCATAGTAAGTATTATATGGCAAAAATAGAATGATAGATTTAGTTTCTTGATCAAATAGAAGTTATTTTTGCTCAGAGTACCAAAACGTTTTAGAGGTTGTGAACAACCTGTTGTTTCTGATGTTTCTGAAACTCAAGGACATAATTGGATGAAGACGAATGCTTGGCGTGAGTGTCACCACGTTTGTTGGCAATGCCAGCTCTATCAGTTATTAAATTATCACCGTCCTTCAAATGGTGAACGGTAGATTTTGAACCTTTGCCCTTTATTATCTGTACCATGTTCCACTCCTTTGAAATCGGTGTGCGGAATTTTGTTTGGAAACATAATTTCTCCAAGACTGACGCTTTTTCTGTTTTATTGCGGGGTCGAGCCTTGGCATTTAAAATTTTAACTTAATTCAAATTATGCATGGTAGGACGTCGTCAAAAATACTTTTGGACTTTCTTCCTACACTTTCTGGTCTGTTTGCATTGATCATTGAAGCATGGTTTACAAACATGTGGAGTTGCAGAGGACTGTGGAATTGTTTTGCCAGCAATGTGGTAACGTATATCCAAAAACGTCTGAAAAGGATTCTCACTGTGGATGAAAAGGTCATGTTTCAAATGTTCAATACATAGAGTCTAATATAATGACCAGTCAGCCTTGGTGACGTTCCTTCTTGATAAAGGAGTCATCACCAGGGTCGAGAGGTTTTAAGAATGGTGGGAAAGTGATCACTCCCACATAAGTCACCATGGACCATCCATTCAAATTCAATACACAAAGTTGAATCGGCAAGTGCCAGATCGATGGGAAAATATGTTCCAGTAGCTGAATGTAGATAAGTGTTTGATTCATCGTTAAATGTACAGAGGCTATTCTCTGAGATACATTCCTCCAGGATTTTACCTTTATTATCAGTATGAACACTTCCCCAAAGTGGGTTGTGTCCGTTCAGATCGCCCATGATGATATATGGTTTTGGAAGTTGATCATACAGATTCTAACCAATGACCAAGTACATAAATCTGCATATTGTCCCATTTTTGGGACGGTATTTTGGCGGAAAGTTGAGTATGGAAAAATGCATTTTTTCATTTTATTTTCCATTTGAATAACACAATATATTTAAACACACTCTGGTTAAAATTGGGACCCCAAAAAATCATCTGACCTCACAATTCGCTGAAATGGCAGGGGCTGCTTTGCCACTGAAGCTGGCCATGCATACGGGACATGACTCCGCAAGTAATGTGCAATATATAAAGTCTCTGTCTTGAACAATAAGAGAGAAATGCTCTTGGCCCATAAAAAGGGACAATGCAAAAGAGAACATAAATTTTTTCGTAAGAAGATACCTTTCAATCTTATACAACAGGAACATGATTATAATTGTTTGCATATGTCTGTCATATACAGCAAAAAATGTGCTTGAAAAGGTAACTAGGCCGAACTAATATTCACCATATGATCCTGACGGTACGAGATTTTTGAAGAAATCCTGTTTCTTGTCTGAGTCAACCTTGAGAAGATTGGAACCTCCTTCGTTGATGCATGTATTCTTGGCCGCTGCGTGTTTATCTTTCTCGGAGGAGTGGTATTTGTAGCAAACGTCCATATCAGCTTCGTAGTTGTAGCCTTTCTTCACATCGCACTCTGGGTTCCCTGGAAGTTAAAAATACAAGGATTGGGTGCTATTGCGCAAGAAGACGATGCCATTCTGTATAATAGCGTGTGACCTCAAGCTAATGCTTGTGTGACGTCATAATATTGCATCACAATGACGTCATCTAACAATACCAAGGGAACAAGGAAGAAAATCTTGACGGTTCATTATCTCAAATGTAACACTCTTATAAGCAGGCAATAGAGACCACTTTCTTTCTTTCATGTTACAAATGTGTTTGCATATTTGGGACACTTCACCGTTAATTCGTTTTTACATCTGATAATTCAGAAATCTTTTAATTTAATCTGAATGCTTTAAGTTCTACTTTTGTTTTATGAATGACTCCTGGGTAAGTCTTTGACAATTTTCTGTTTGTGTTACGATACATAAGTTTGTTGTGTCATCGAGATAACTGTTCAATATATAAAAGCAGCAAGTTGATAAACATAATTCAGACACATGAATCTGAGAATAATATGCAGCAAAATACAGCAACAATGTCTATTTGTCTATCAGTTTCCTAGATGGTGCATTTGTTCCTAAATGTCTTAATGTCTACCTGTACTTGCTTGATTCCCTAACAAACGTACATATTTCGACCTAACGACCATCACCTTGAAAATCACCGGTTGATCACAATTCAGTTCCGCTTTGTTCTGGATTTGACGACCAGAAATCAGGAACATGGGGGTGTGGTTTCGAGTCGAGGTTTTTCCTTCTTCATCATAGACCCCTAAAAATCAAGCATGGAAGCATACATTTTACTTACGGAATTTGTGACTCCATGCAAATACTTCATTGCACTCGTTGCCCCTCTTTAAGTTGTATACCAACAAGTCCATATTTGAAGTAGCCGAGGGGTCCACCTGAATGCTTTGCTGGTACAAATAACACATCGGTTGGGGAGCATCGAACGCCATGGCATCACACCTTGGCTTACGTATGCATTCAAGGGCACAGTCAAGTACACTCTCCACTTTTATAACCTTAGTGTAATTGGTAGGGAGGGTTGTAATCAGGACAAGATCAAACATCATCTTAGCGGCAGCCATGTGAAACTTGCAGATTAAATCCTCTGGTGGGATCTACAAAACAGACGGATTCCTACTGACTTTTGAAATCATGCGACAGTGACTCTTATCATCCTGACATCATTTGTACACTTGATCTGACTTCTGGAAGCCAATAGGCGATGCGTGTTGAAATTCTGAAAATCACTTAGATCCTGAGGCAACTCGCCAACGACTCATTGATTATAGTTTCCTTTGAATGTAGATTGAGTTCCTTGAGTGCAAGCGTTAACTGATGATGTGTATATCATTGTTCTTGTCTTGTTGAAACAAGTGGTATTGAATCAGTCCTGTATGCATTACAACATGTACCCTGTTCAATCCAAAATGTGTAAGTTTGGAGAGAGGTTTTAATAACGTTTAACGTCGACATTATTGTATTTGTAGTGTGTGTGTGTGTGTGTGTGTGTGTGTGTGTTGTGTGTGTGTTTGTTTGTTTGTTTGTTTGTTTGTTTGTTTGTTTGTTTGTTTGTTTGTGCGTGCGTGCGTGCGTGCGTGCGTGCCTCGGGCGTCAGACAGGGAAACAACCATCGCCATCACTTAATGTGCCGGGAATCGAACCTCTTATTTTTTACTGACACTCTATCCACTCGAGCACGGATGTTATGTTCGTTTGTTTAATAAGGATGTTTTCTTTTCATTCGTAGCAAAATGTTCAGATGGATGACTGTAAGGGATACTTGCTAGCTGTGTGCAGTGGTTGGCATCAGTGTGTTAGAAGTTTAAAATTATCAGTGACATTGTGTTTGATTTTGGTACGCCATTTAAAGCACTACTCAGATGCACAGTTGGGTTCTTAATGTGAATCATTATCCTGTGATCAGTGATTTGAATCTGATTATAAGCATTGTTTTGTCAGCAACATGTCTGAGAGTTGTTACAGAATGATACACTTCTGAGGTCTTCACGACATTGGGGTTTCCTCACATATTATGTCAACATGTCTTTTGTTTTTATGTTTTTACCAAACCTCGTTCACCCTGTTCATTTAAACGTGCCGAAATTGGATCAGTTCTTACTATAAATATGCTTACTGAAATTAGAACTTGGTATGGTCACGATACTAATGTGTTTATTAACAGACACATCAGCAGTAGCAGGACATTATTTGAATGGAATATTAAAAGATAATACATCAATTAGATTTTGAAAAAGGAAACAGACATGGGTTCACGTGAAAAGCAATCAGCTGTTACACTAACTGAGATGTTTAGTTTTGTTTCGCCCTCAGTTCATGTATGCCAATTTTTCACAAATTCTATCTCGATCTGATATTTGCACTTTGACCAAACTCTTAATTTCTCTTGAACCCCTTACCTGTTTTTTCAAAGCAACGTCAACCCAAACTCGCCCATCCGGTCCATTTGAACGTGCCAAATATGGATCACTTCTTTGAGAAGCATTTTTTGAAGTTGTAAAGATGAAGGGAAACCAATTTCTATGGATTCAAATTCTTTATTGCAATGGGGTGCTACGTTTTGGTGTAGGTACTAACAGTGTAGGACTTCATCACTTGTTTGATAACGGTGTTAGTACCTACACCGAAACGCCGCACTTATTGCAATATAGAAGTTAAATATCCATAGAGCTTGGTTTTCCTTCAAATTTGGATCAGTTCTTACTATAATTATGTTAATTGAAGTTGGTATAGTCAGGATACAAATGTGCTGTAACTTTTACTCAGCAAAACAAACTATCGAGATGTCGACATCATGTTTATTTACGCCACATATGAACATAAATGACAGGAATGGACTAGAGATGTTTGTATTTGCCTTTGGCATACCGCGTTGTGCTATTTTTGCAAACATACAGTTGGACTAGTTTATTCAACGGTTGTGCTTTGTATCTTTCAGTCTGTAAGTGAATGAGTTATGGAACACACAAGTCCGCCAACCATCTCAATAAAGCAACTTGGTGACATTGTGGACAAAGAGTGAGTGAGTGAGTGAGTCACATCATTGTCACATCGGCAAATTTTCAGCTGTGACTAGAAGACTAATTTATTCATCATAAAATAAGTTTAATAATAAAATCTGTCTCTAAATGACAGTAAAATAACTCGATTATCATTACAATATAAACGGGCTATGGATCGTCAGCACCTGAGAGCAGATCACCATACAAAATGTACTAGGGACCACGGTTGTGGACAATGAAGCAATGACATTCAGTGTATCAATACCACATTAATAGTCTAAAATAGAAGGAAGGTGATAAATAATATAATGAATAATGAAAACATATTTCACGTGCGCACTAGTTTCACGCCTCGAATTCGTGGTGTGAAAGTCAACTATAGATTACACAGTATATATAAATAGACAATGCCATTTAGAAAGCGGTCAAATCTAACTTATGTTAGTTTTGGCATTACACTTTATTGGTAAAGTAAAGTATTGAGTACAATTTATAATTACTGAGAAAGTGTAATGCATTAAGTGTACAAATTTATAGTGTTGAAAATTCATTTTAAGTCACGGTAGACGACATAAGAACCTAGTCTGAAGTAAACAGTAAATTGATTTGGCTGTGCTGACAAGTTTAATTGCTGATAAATGATATCGCCTAGTTTAAAAAAATACTTTAACATTAAGTGGTGCCTCCGCTTCGCTTGATTCTTCTTCTTCAGCATCACTCGAAGTTTCTCTTGCAAGAAGTAAATTTGGCTCGTATTGATACGGTCTAACATCGATGTCAAAATGACATCGGGGACATCTTTACTACTTCGGAATCCATGGTCACTGTAAAGTTGTCAGGTAAAATCGAAGAGGAAGCCATCGGCAACAGGCACATATGACGTTATGTCACATGACACGTCACTGCTCATTAACTGTTTCCGTAATAGGCGGAATAATAGTGCGTTTTACGTATTAAATGCGATTGTACAAACTTTTTGTTCATGGTAGAGACGTTATCACGCCTAGTAACTCTTCCGTCCTGGACAATTTATAAAACAACTATTCAAACATCAATATTGACAGCAACGTTTATTAAGATATATATATACATATACGTGAGTTGCAATATTATTGTTGCTCTATGGTTTCACTAAACCATGTCAGATTGTCTTGAATAAAAAACGAAATCGTTGTTCTGCAGGACATTGATGGCGTAACATTTAATTGTTTTTATCAATACAATTGCTCTCTTTATTAAGTCATATGGGGATGTCCACATTGTGGGAACATATCAAAAGCAAGTCTTTCGCCGTTGGTACCTTAAAAGTCACGAATAATATTTACATACTGATCAAATAAATGAACGAATATACAAATTACGGTAAGATATAACCACAAATGACATGTATTTTGATATTATAACAATGTTTAGATTGATAGTGTTTCTTAAAGAATACCTCCCCGATTCTTTATACTTCTTACGAAATGCACGGTTATCTGAGGTTCCAAATCTTCCACATCCAAACAGTTCAACTGCTCTGTTTGTTAGAAATGGATCGACGGGAAAATGACACCAAATCCAAACATGTTGTTTTTCCTATTGCATATCATATTCACAGAGTGAAGACAAGTGTGCGCCCAGTGCAGATGAGATCGCGCTGACCGGTTGCATCCATGGCCAGGCAGTTCTGTTCAGTCGTTACGTTATCTGGCTGACCGGGTGCCCACTCTATAATCGGTAAGGGCCTTGCAATCCCTCCTTCCCAGTATACCCATTCTCCAGTACTGGGATCCGATCTCCTCGAATGTATGCTGTAATGTGCAAAAATAGATGGACGTTATGGACTTCGTAGAGGTAAAATCGTACACAGAAATTAAACCCTAACAATTCAGGAAACTACATTCTCCAAACAGTACAAATGTGTGACTACAGCTTGTTCATCTTGACCTGAGCTATTTTACATATGCATGACCCAGGATGTCAAATAGCACAAACGGCAGGTCGAGTTAACCTCATTAAATAGGGGAGCAGAGAATGTTAAACGGCGACCTTGTCTCCGCTGTTCGGACATGTTGACAATCAACTGACAGAGGTGCACCCTTCAATAATAATAGAGTTTTACATCATTACAAAGCATTCACTCCCTGATCAGGTCAAGCTGAACAAGCTGTAGTGGGTGAATGCTCCTGTAGTATACATTCCATTCTAGGCGGGTATCAACTGACTACATGATTCTGATAACGAATCTTAGAACTTCAGGTAGCATGAGTTACTTCACTTTAATCTTAACCTGTCAAAATATTCAAATATGGGATTTTTATCTGACAGAAAATTCTAGACACTCGATCCTGACTCATGAAGCCAATCACAATTAAAACAAGCTAAAACTGGTGTATTCCTAATAACTTAAAAACATTACTCAATCGTTTACATTTATCGAAAGGAATGGTCCCACATATCTACACCAATCATATATTTGTAACTTTATTCAATTCATATCCAAGAGCATATTCTGGTTTCAGGGAAACCATTTGGCATAGGAACAGTTTTCACATATCCATTGACAACAAATAATGTGTCAGCATACACAAATATATCTCTGTAGAATAATCCTGATAATTAAAACCGTATACGTAAATGTACTAATTATTACTGTATTGGAATGCTGGTAGAAGATTCTTGAAAAAGTCCAGCTTTTCCTGAGTGTCAATCTTCAGAAGATCAGAACCTCCTTCCTGGACACACGTAGCATTCGCTGGTGGGTTGCTTGAGCTGACCATCTTGTAACAGACGTTGAGAGTTAGTTCATAGCTGAAACCCTTGCCAAGTGGGCAAGCCGGGTATGCTAGATGAGAAAATTGTATTGCATTATGCTGATTGGATCATTTTATTAAATAGGAAATCTCCTATCTTCTTGTCTTATTATCTAGATAAATTGATATCATATGGTGTGCCCTTTCACACACACACAAGTTGTCATCACAGGGTGATCAATTCATAAAATGTACATCTTTTTGAGTGGTATGTGTTGTCAGATTATCGACACTGGCTGTTCTCCAGCATTAGTGCTTTAAATATATAAAATTCTATGAATTAATCTCAACAACGTAAGGACCTTTCTCTTGCCCACCATACTTAACATACACAGAAAAGAAGGATTTTATAGCATAT